ACTCTCTTTTGCCATCTCATGCCTTCTATGTTTATTAACTTTCCTCCAGGTGCTTCCAAGCTTATTATTGCTTTAAAGTATTTATGATAGTGTTCTAGTGGCTCAAATAATATTTGATAGGTTGGTTGGTCTGCTGGAACTTTACATTTACCTGAACCCTAGGTGACTTGGTTTTTCCTTTCTGTGCAGCAAAAGGATTTTACTGCTTTCAAACAAATTTAAATTTTCTAAGCTATATAACTAAATTGGAAATAAAAGAATCAGGGTTCATAGAAAAATGGTTAATTTTTTTTTTTTGTACCATGGATCAAACTCTGTACCCTGTGTTTGCAAGGCAGGCAAGGTACCACTGAGCTAAATCCCTGGCCCAATTAGTTTTTTAAAAATGTACAATGATGAGCTGAAACAATTCATCATGCCGGAAAGTAAGGAAGCTATTAAAGACTCCTGGTGTTGTGTCAGAAGGACTTAGTAGCCAACCTGATGACACACTTCTTGTTCAAAGACATAATCTGAACGTCAAAAAGAGTAATGGTTGCAATGATTAAAACACATCAAGCTGGGTGTGGTGGCACATGCTGTGATAGCACTCTGGGAGGCCAAGACTGGAGGATTGCAAGTTCAAGACCAGCCTGAGCAGTTTACCTACTTAAGCAAGATCCTTTCTCAAAAATTAATAAAATGAAAGGGCTGGGGTATAGATCCATGCAAAGGCAGGCCCTAGGTTTAATCCCCAGTACCAGGGTGGAAAAATTCAAACATGTTAAGACTCATGAACTCATAAAAATTTCAGGGCCAGGGATTTAGCTCAGTGGTTCTGCTGGCTGCCTTGCAAGCGCAAGGATTCAAGTTTGATCCCCAGTACCAAAAAAAAATTTTTTTTTCATAAAACTCCTTTGGTTCATGCTAGAGAAGCAGTGTGTTATTTTGCAAGGTGATGAATAAAGAGAATATCCATCTTTGCTGAAATAGGTATTTTTGGTTTAGTGGTATAATTGGTGAAGAAAAATATTTCATACACTCTCAGCTAATGAAATGGAGAAGAAACGTATAATTGGCACATTATGATTTTGGACCTTCTAGTGCAAAGCCCTGGTGGCCATTAATGATTGCTTAAACCATTTGATCAAACACTTGGTTGGGGGGGCTTAAGGGAAACTATTTCCTGAACGGGGTAACTGTACCTGAACTCAATTATTACTCCTAACACAGGAGATACAACTAGGTATTGTGTGCTTTCAGTACCATCTATAAAATATTTTAAAAATTAAATATAAATTAGATCGAGCCCTTACATCTAAAAGTTTATAAAAAATACACAGGATGAGTGGACATTGAAAATACAACATAGAGCTGCAGTTGACCACATCCAGAGCAGAGATTCAATAGTTTGAAGTGTGGTTTCTTCAACAGCAGAAGTTTTTTTAACGGGGGCATGTGAAAAAGGATAACAGATCAAAAGACACCTATGAGTGGAAAACTCTACATCTGAGTTTGCCTGGGATAATCCTTCTGCAGCTATTAAGATGGGTAATGATTAAGAATGGATCCTTTTGCTTGAGAAGTTGGGGTGATAAACTATATAATCCCCTACTTAAAATATATCAGCCTTATCAAGTGATTAATTCTGGTTCACATAAACCAAGTATGGAAAACGTTTGAGACATTTGGTGGAATTTGAACTCTAGACACTTGATATGAAGGAATAAACATTAAATATTTTAGATATGATGGTGGTCTTATAAAGTAAATGGATGAAATGATACTGGATTTGCTTTAAAATAATTCAAGTATGAGAAGGAATTGATGTCCAGTTCTGTTTTATCTGTAACCCATGTGTTGTTGAGGTGTGGCAATGACAATATGGAGTTGATTACGTTTTCTCTACTTTTATATGTGATCTTAAAACTTTTATTTATGGAAATATCGAGGTAAGGGAAAGTGATATATTGAGTAAAGCATTGGCAATTTTTTTGTGATAATTGCTTTTTCATATCGTACAGGGTATAAATGAATGTGGAAAGGCTTCAAAGTCAGAAATTGCTGAAAAATTAAAAGGACATAAAACAGAAAATGAGAACCAGCATGATATTTTTCTTAGCCAGATAAGAACTGATGAAGAAACTTTGTTAGCACAAAGTCTAGAACTTAATGAAACTACAAAACTGGGTCTGAGTAAGCTTAATTGCTTTCTGCAACAAGATCTCAAACTGGATATCCCAACAGGTGCGTAAGTTGAGTTCACAATGTAAGTTTTTTGTTTTGGGTTGTCTAATAGGAATTTATGATTTCATTGTAATCAATTCAAATATGGAAAAATTGGAAACCTAAAATAGGTGTCTAGACATCAAGTGTTTGATGTCTTGATATAGATAGTATGTACTTTTAGAAATTTGGGATCATAATTTAGTCAGATTTTACATTCAGGGAACTGGCTTTGTTAAGAAAAGACATTTTATGTTTGTTTCGGTTGTTTTGTTTTTAGACGTGGTCTGTGTAATTCACATCAAACTCATGGTGATCCTCCTGCCTCAGCCTCTTGAGTGCTAGGATTATAGACATGCACCACCACGCATGGCTAACAAAAGACTAACTTTTGAGAGGCTCTCTTTGTAGTTCAGGTTGGCCTTGAATTCCGTGGCAATTGCCTCAGCATGCCAGGTGCTAGGATTATGGGTGTGCACCACCATGCCTGGCCGAAGATTATTTTTAAAAATAAAACCGACAAACCATCTACTTATGACTCTTTGTAAAAAGACATCTTAATACCAAAACTATTGCAGAAATGTAATTGAATAAATGTAGTTTAATACACTCTTCACCACATTGAGTATTTTGTTATATGTCTCTCTTATAAACTGTTAGCATTTAGGAATCACCATTTTGAGAGATTGGGGGTCACCATGAAATGTTGACATTTGGGAATTGCCCCTTTGAGAGATCAGTAGGCTATCAGGATTCAGAGAATCCTTTGTGGAATAAGGTTATAAGAAGTTGCTTTACATAGGACAACTAACGGGGTTATTTTTTGGATTGTGGTAATGGTTGCATAACCTGTAAATTCACTAAAAATCATTGAATTGTGCACTTAAAAATGAGTGAATTTTGTGGCATATAAATTATACCTCAAAGCTTTTTTAAAAGAAACTATTATAAAAGCAGATTGTGGTAAAGAACGGTGATTTATTTTTCCCCAACAGACCTATGAGATTTGTTGTTCAGTTGGGCATGGTGGCCCACACCTGTAATCCCATCACACAGGAGGCTGAGGGAGGAGGATAGCCAGGAGTTCAAGGCTAGCCTGGGTGCAGTGAGTTCAAGGCAAGACCCTGTCTCAAAAAAAAACACAAAACAAAAATCCTAAAAGGAGATGTATTGCTCACTCATCAGTGAAATTAGGAATGTTAAAAGGCAATGCCTCTGTAAATTATAATAGCATGAACTCATAAAGAAATGTAAATAGTTAATATTTAATCACCATACCACATTTATAGTAAAATAATTATTCTGACTAAAGAAATCATATTGGGAAAACTACTGTTATTCCAGTAATCCTACCATTTCTCACAACTATGTGTAATCCTTTTAGAACCTACAACACATCTTTTGTTGTACATCCTCAGAAATGGAAAACTTCACATTTTGGATGTATTGAGATTGGTGAGATTTATTTAAGATCAGTTATCAAATTAGAGAATATTACTAAGTGCAGGCAGTATGTGACTGACAGCTAGTAAGTCTGATTCTCACGTATGGCAGTGGTGCTTTTGGAAGACAAGACTTATTTGGAAGTATAAGTTTTAATGTATTTTCTCAAATCTCATTTGTATACCAGACTTCAATTTTCCTCATTTGTCTAATGTCTGCAAAAGGTACAACACCACAGAGGAAGCGTTACTTATACCCATCAACCCTGGTGAGAACTGAACCACGAGAACGGCTCCTTGGTCACTTGAAAAAGGAAAGACCTGAGCTGTTAATGACGCCGATCGTCTCAGAAAACAATGAAGAAGACAAGAGTCAGGTGAAATTTAAAGCATCATTTGAGAACTCGCCTGTAAATTCTTGATGTGATCAATTTTATGTGAAGAATGTTACTCTTTACCCCCTTCAGTTCTACCCTGTGTCTTATAATTAAGCCTCTCATTTTAACCTCATCGGTTTTTAAATATTAGACTACTAGATAATAATAATAGCAAGTGTTGAAATTGTACTTACTTGCTGGATACTGTTCTGAGCTCTTTAGATGTATATTAACATAGTTATTTCAGTAATCCTATGAGGTGGGTGCTAGCACTGCTGTATACACATCTTATAGTGAAGACACTAAGAATTGCCTTGTCCCAAATCACAAAAATGAAGTTGCAGTTAGAACCTATACAGTCAAGCCTACAGTGTGTACTTGAGTGAAGAAAAATTGTAGAAAAGTTGAGCATTCAGAAGTTAACAAAAAATAAAAGTAAACTAATCCTATTATTCTGAGATTACTGATTTTACAATTTTGTTTTACTTATTTGTTTGGTTTTCTTTAGACGTGGTCTTGCTAGACATGTTCCTCAGGTTGGCCCTGAACTCACTGTGTCGGCTAGACTTGAACTCAAGACTGCTCTCCTGCCTCATTCTCCCGAGTGTTGGGGTTACAGATGTGAGCCACCATACCTGGCTCTTAGCAATTTTAAAATGTTAGAATAGGAACTTATGCTTTTGATTTTTTTTTTTTGTACCGGGACTTGAACTCAGTACCTTGCACTTGCAAGTGCAGGTGCAGTGCCACTGAACTAAATCCCCGGCCCAAGATTGAATTTTTATATAATGTACGTCATGTCATATTCAAAGAAGAAAGCTGTTTACTTTTGTGATAACGGTTAAGCCATTGCACTATTCACTCACTTCTTCTTTTAGGTGATGAATGAAGAAAAGGTAGTTCTGGAGCTGTACATTGAAGAACCTCTAAGTCAAAAGCTGCCTGTAGATGCCAATGTGGAATGTCCAAGTGGTGGGGTTCCGTTTTTCCAGGTACTAGGGTATCATTTCGGATATTCCTCACACGTCTGCTCTAATGCAGTCATCCACTGTTCTGTAGAAAGGCATTACTTTTGTTGTAGAAAAACAAAATTTTCAGTCATTTTTTTAGAATGGCTTGTTAACTTATGATTTAAATTATTTGCATAGTCTGATATCGATGAGGGATTTCCTATAGGAGGAATAAAAGCAAGTTTTTACTTTACATCCTTGGCTGATAATCTTTGACTGTTATATTTTCTCCCTTTCTGCTTCTTTTTCACTTAAAATGGATTCTGAGATCAGTCATTTCTGTCTTTTTTCTACCATTGCTTGGAAGTCTAAGAGCCTGTCTCTCCCTGTCAGACTCTGAAGGCTAAGGGGCTTATAATGGAGACACTGAAGGTCTCTTAGGTTATATGAGTGATTTTTCACGCCCAAGGCTCTTCTCTTATTAACCATCCCCCTGTTTCCTGAGTGTCTTCCTTGCTCTGATCCTGTGCAATTAAACGCTGTGACCTCTCCTTCCACCTTTTAACACCACTGGAAACATGGCACTGTAAACTGCCTGGCATCTTTCCCACTACTCTGAAGGGATGAGCCTAGAAAAGTAAGAAATTATTTAGGACATTGGTGTCTACATTTTATAGTTGAAGTGCTGCTTCTGATTATATTTGGTTGTATCTGTTTCTTTTTGAGTAAAGGTCTCACTATTTAGTCTGACTTTGAACTTGCTATGTAGCCCAGGCTTGGCTGAGATCCTCCTGCCTCAGCTTCCCAGAGCACTGGGATTATAGGCGTGCACCACATTGCTGGGCACTACTAACATTTTGAATTGAATAGTTGTATTGATTGTATGATGTTTAGCAGCATCCATAGCTTCTACTCACAACAAAAAGTGTAACAACAAAAAGTGTTACCTTCATGTCCACTGCAGGGCAAAATCATTCCATGCTGAGAATTATTACCCTATACTAATTTTTATAATTTTGCCCTAGAAAATAATGCAGAAAATTAGTCTTTCTTTCACTCTACTGCTTCTACTCGTGGTAAAATAAGGTGTTTGCCTGTACTTGACCAGAAAATTGTTAGCTCAAATTTGTGTTGAACCTTTTCTGAAGGTTTTCATAATTCAGCCTTCTTGCTTATAACCTAGAGAACTTATGAAAATAATGTATAGCTAAAGTGTATCAAATGTTGTATTGACTGATTTCTTTTCTTAAATTTTCAGCATAAAAAATCACATGGAAAAGACAAAGAAAACAGGCATTAACCTGATGGAGAGGTCTAAAGTGTAAGAAACTACAGAGCACTCTGTTGTGAAGAGCAGATTACCACTTTGAGCCTAGAGAAATCTTTGGTTAACTTGAGGCTCAGGTGTTTTTTAAATAAAACCTGAAGCCTCAGAACTTGAGCGTTATGTACAGATTTAAAAGGAATAGAATATATCAAGGTAGCTAGTAAATGTAGTTAACTTTAATATCTACCCATGTTTTGGTCATCCTTGTAATTCCCTGTGTATTAAATTGGGTTTCATTTGGGGATTTGAATTGAGTAAATATATTTGTAGCTTTTCATATAAAGTACCTCTCCCTTGTATTTCCTTTGTATGTTATTAAGTAGCAAATATGTGGGAGCTGCATTGTTTTATGCTTGAACTAACATAAGTAAATATCCCTCACCCTTCGCCTTGCAGGGGATCATCCCATTTATTCTCTTGCTGTGATTTACTTAAGTCTACTTTTTCTTTTCCCTAGATTTTTCTGTTTTGACCTCTCGGGTCACTTTCTCACTTTTCATTTGTCACAGAATCTTTCTCTCTGTGGTACTGGGGATTGAACTCAGGACCTTGTACTTGCAAGGCAGGCGCGGTGCCTCTGAGCTAAATCCCCAGCGCTGTCACAGAATCTTTAAAGCTCAAAAAGGTTCCTTTTTTCTTCCTTTTTTCTTTCTTTTTGTTGTAGTTCTAGGAATTAAGCCTAAGGAGTGCCAAGCTGTACCCCCTACACACCTCCCCCCAACCCCTCCTCTGGAAATATATCTTCTTTCAGTTTTTATTTTTCCCTAAACATAAAAACATTTAGCCCAGAGTTCTTCCAAAAACCAGCTTCTCCAATATATATAGATTGCTATTACAATAGAACTTCCTAGAGCTTTGAATCAGGGCTTTGTGGTCCCAGTCTTAAGGGTTATGTTTGTAGGAGAAGGTCATATGATTTAAAGACTTTTTGAAACTGCCAATTATAACTATAATTTGTATTCTTTTGTTTGCTTTATGAAACGTCTTGTTCTTTGTATATAATAAAATATGTTTATATACATTTAATCTTAACCCTTAGAAGAGCCCTGGCTTTTTTTTTTAATGGCTTTATAGCATAAAAACAAGGGTGTTGTGCCACTAAGCTATGCCCACAGCGCTTTTTGTTTTTGTTTTGAGACAAGGTCTCACGAAGTTGTCCAAATGGGCCTAAACTTGCGATCCTCCTGCCCTGGTCTCCTGAGTAGCAGGGAGTACAGGCCTGTACCACCATGCCTAATGCCCTGACATTTTTCTCTGGCAGCCATATTTCTGGAAGTGAGAACATGAAGTTACAGAGGACTTAGAAGAAATACGTGCAAGGAAAACATTTGGTGCCCATGTCATCTTTAGTGTATGTATCTTAGACTTTGATAGCTAACAAAACCCAGGTCCTATTGGAGAATTAGAAAATGTGCAACTTTGAAGAACTAAATTTACCTTGCAGCAGTAGTGTTTTAGGGCCGGAGATATAGCTCAGTGGCACCATGCCTGCCTGCCTGGCAAGCGTAAGGTCATGAGTTTGATTCCCTGTACCAAAAAAAAAAAAAAAAAACCACCAAAATTTTAATAAAATTATGGGTATAATTTCTCTACAAATATGTCAATGTCAGTTATGGAGAGATCTCCCCTTGTAAATTTATAATTAATAAATTTGGTTTCTTTCTTGCCCCATAATTTCTTACCTGGCAATTATATATATATAAACAATCTACATTAAGACTCCTAAAATAAATGTCTATACAGACATCAGCAAGGACAATAGGAGCCAGGTGTGGCAGCGCACACCTGTAATCCCAGCACTTGGGAGGCTGAGGCAGGAGGATCACTGTGAGTTCGAGAGCAGCCTGGGCTACATAGTGAGTTCCAGATCAGTCTCAAGTACATAATGAGACCCTGTCTCAAAAAACAAACAAAAAGAACAATAGGCCTGGCAAATACGCCATGCTTCCAGTTACACTCCAAGGGTGGCCTGTGCCTTAGGTGCAAGATTGAGAAACAGCTTCATCCAGACATAACCTCAATACCAGCTTTAAGTTCTCTCATTCTGACTGTTTAAAAAGTTATCTAGGAATGCTGATGCTTGCCAAGAAAAAAATCTCCAGGAAATTTTAACATCCAGAACCATAAATTATTATTACCACAACAACTTTTCATACAGTGTCATATACTTAAAAAATAACCAAGAGTCCCTTCATCAAAAATGGCATGGTAACTTCAAAAACTGTTCCTTCACAAAAGCATCAAAAGAATAAAAAACATTCAGACTCAACCTCCAAACTCTGGAAACAGTCAAGCGAAAGACCATCCAAAACCAGGAAAGATTTGTGTTTTACTTGGCCTTTCCACATTTCCCTCCCCATCCTGAAGGCTCTATGGTAATCTTCACAAGGAGATAGGAGCCCCCACTCTCAGGGTCTGGTGGTCCTTGATTCCTAGGAAACAGAAAGGCTTTATTCTCAAGATTGTTTAGTCTGGGAAAAACTGAAAGATGGACACAAGGCACTCACTTTGTTTCATTAAGTTTAAATTCAAGGTGGAAAAGTGAGCATTTGTCAAAAATATAAGGCAAATGAGTAGCAGTCCACTGCCACCTGAGACCAGCAATTGCAGCTGAGGTAAATAAGCGTCTAATGCCTCAGAAAAAGCAGTGCAGAGAATTTCTTAAGGAAATCAGGTCATTCAAAAGCACCTACATATATTGCAAGATTTAGAAAGCTAGACATCTGCTTGTGGTGAATTGGATGTAGGAAGAACCTGAGAAGACCCAAGTTTCCACCTGTGCCTGATTTCTATGCTTAGTGCAAGGTGGAAGTAAAAGGTTGATTTTAAATGCCCTGGCTAAGCACTGAAGGTGTTCCCCAACGCAACCAATTTGCAAAAACTAGAAGGGTTCTTATTTTTGGAGTGACTGGTGTTCAAGGAAATCTGTCAACACATTAGCTGAACACAAGCAAAATGAAAACACCTTAGAGACCATGTAAGTCAAACAATAAGAGACTTTACAAAAACAATTTGGATAACTCATGTATTATAGCTCACAGCAAGTAAAAGCATTCCTGATGAGTAGAGTCTGATATCAGAGTTACCACGTTATAATCAAAACGTTTAGCTTTCACCATGAAACAGGCACAGAAAGAAAAAAATATATAGCTCATTCACAAAAGAAATAAGAAGGGCTGGGTATTTAGCTCAGTGGCTCCGTGACTGCCTTGCAAGAACAGGGTCCTGAGTTCGATCCCTGGTACTAGAAAAAAAGTAAAAATAGGGGCCGGGGATTTAGGTCAGCGGTTCGGTGGCCTACCTTGCAAGCACAAGGACCCAAGTTCAATCCCTGGTACCAAAAAAAACAAAAAAAAAAACAAAAAAAAAAAAAGCAAAAATAAAAAAAAGAACAATCTGAGGAAGCATAGATATTGAACTTAATAGGCCAAAAATTTATTCTGAAGATGAAATTTATTTTTAACCTAAACCCATAAAAAGTATACATATTTATGGAGTACCATGTAATATTTAGAGATGTATACATTGTGTTATATACCTATCCGTACTCTTTTATGATGACATTCAAAATCTACCCTTTTTGAAATATACACCTTTTTGTTTGTTTTTTGCCAGCATTGGATATTGAGCCCAGGACCTTTGCACTGAGCTTAAACTAGTGATTCTCATGCCTCAGCCTCCCAGAGAGCATTATTGTTATCTATAGTTCCCCTACTGTGCAACAGAACTTCTAGTACTAGATAAAATTTTAAGTCATTTTTTCTAAATACACTCAAAAGAGCCAAAAGAATCCAGGAAAATAAAGTCTCAACAAATGAAGAAGATCCATAAAGAAACTAACTACAAGTTGAAAAATAAATAACTAATAATATGAGAAAAGGAAAAAAAATAGAAACAAAGTCTTTGTGAATAGGGAAGGGTGGAGGGGGTGAAAGGGAGGGCAGGGGAATGAGGGAAAAGTAAGCAAGATGCATCATGTAAAGGTACAAGATCCCAATGATGAATGTGTGTTGTATACCTAAAATGTATCAATAAACAATTAAAAGAAAAGTTACAAGAAACTAGTAAAAGGAACCATACAAATTAGGGGCTGCAAAGCATAATAACAAGTAGAAGCAAACCATTAAAGAGCTCCAATAGCAGATGTGAGCATAAGCAATTAGAATAAATTGTAAACTAAGTTGTTTGAAATTGTCTCATAGACCTGGAGTGCACCACTAAGCACCATATGAACGTTAAAAACGGAAGACCCAGAAGGAAAGAAGAGACAGTGGATGTGAAAAAATGATGCTAAAATCTTCTCAAATTTGCTAGAATTCTTGAATCTACACACCCCAAAATATTATGAAACTCCAAACATGATAAACTGAAAGGAAATCTACACTGATACATACAATATAATCAGTGTTGAAGCTGAAGATAGAATCATATTGTTATTGGTGTTGGATTTATTTTTTAATAAACTGAGCTTTGCATCACTGATTTTTTTTTTTTTTTGAGAGAGGGTCTCAAACTATGTAGTTGAGACTGACCTGAAACTCACTATGTAGCCCAAGCTGGTCTCCAACTCACAGTAATCCTCCTGCCTCAACCTCTAGAGTGCTGGGATTACAGGGGTGTGCCACAATGCCCGCCAGATTTTTTTTTCCCCAACCAGGGATCGAACTCAGGACCTTGCACTTGAAAGGCAGGCACAGTGCCACTGAGCTAAATCCCCAGCCTCCTGCATCACTGATACTAAAGAATGGTCCTATACTCAAAACAGCAAACCTCTTAGTTTCAGAGGGGGAGTAAAGAAAAAAGTGATAAACAGGAAACTGTGTGGAGGTGCAGGTGTTGAGAAGTCTGGCTCATGAGCAGACAGTGAGGATCTGGAGATGCAAGGGCCGACCCTCCTCACCCTCAGGATCAAGGGCCTGCATTACAGAGGGTCAGATTTATTTCACCCTAGAATTAAACTTAATTTTAAAATGTCCCAGCACCAATTTAATAGAGCAAGTGTAAAGTCATTCAAAAGTCAGCTAAAGTCATTCAAAACGTAAAAGGCTTCTAAAGCATTAAATTAGAGACATCAGATGATAGGAAACAGGGAAGTAGACTGGAGATGGGAAGGGCATCTAGGGATGGGGAGAAGAGAAAAAAGGATTAAAATCATATAAAAATAGGTAGATATATAGGTATAAATCTGTGACATCACACACACAGACACACACTCACATATATACTCCCAAAAAAGAAAGTCTGCACATACTAATAAACATAAGTATCAATATTGTTGGAAGTGTTAATCAGCAGATTCAAAAAATGTTTTAAAATACTACAATTTGAGAGGTGTATTGTAAGGCCCGGATTTAGCTCAGTGGTGCCACTGCCTGCCTCACAAGTTCCCAAGTTCCATCCCCAGTACCAAAAAAAAAAAAAAAAAACAAAGGGCCAGGGATTTAGCTCAGTGGTTGCCGAGCCTGCCTCTCAAGCGCAAGGACCTGAGTTAGATCCCCGGTACAAAAAAAAAAAAAAAACCACACAGAAAGCGCAGTTAATGAAGTTTTGGAATGAGAACTTTAATTAAATATTCAGAAAATGTACAGATAAGATGGAGTGTTTTGGCCTAAACTAGAAACCATAAAAATGAGACAGATATTCTAGAACTGAAAAATGGGACAAATTATAAATAAAAGATGAGTTTAGTTGCGGAGTAGTCATGGTTAAAAGGAGGGGAAAAGTTAGAAGAGTTAGAAGAACAGTTAAGCTGAAAGAAAGGGTAGATAAAAGATGAGAAACAAACAGGTTATCATGAAGTAGCCATATGTGTAACCGGAGTCTGGTCAAGAGAAACAATGGGACTGAAGCCCTATGTATTAGCCCAGGCTGCTGTGAAAAAAATGCCATAGAAAGAGTGGCTCAAGCAACAGAAATAGCTTGTATTACTGTTGTGGGGGCTACAAGTCTGGAATCAAGGAGCAAGTATACTTTGATTCTAATGAGGCTATGTTTGTTTGTTGATTGGTTTGGCAGTGCTGGGGCTCCAACACAGGGCCTTTGCACTAAGCTACATCCCCAGCCCTTCATTACTTTTTTATTTTGGGAAAGTGTCTAAGTCAATAAGTTGTCTATGTTGGGCTCTAACTTGTGACCTTTCAGCCTCAGGCTCCCAAAGTGCTGGGGTTGTAGGCATAACCACACCAGTGAGGGCTCTCTTCCTGGCAGGGTAGGAAAGTTGGGGAGAGTGCTCTAGTATTTGCTTATGAGAACTCTAATCTCATCATATTGGATGCTCACCCTTATGACTTCCTTTCAGTTTACCTCCTCATAGGCCAAATCTCCAAATCCACTAGAGGTTAGTGTGTGGATTCTGGGCGGGGTGGTGGCGGCGTTGCAATACTGTGTATACCACTGTATAAACCCTAAGCAGAATAAATACAAATGCATACCTAAATACCTCATAGCCGAAGATAAAACTGTGCATGGTGGCCTATGTCTGTAATTCCAGCGCTCAGTGGGACTGAGTTGGGAGAATCACAAGTTCA